TCTCACCACCATGCCGAAAACCCTGGGCATCTCACCACCATGCCGAAAACCCTGGGTTCAACGCTGGAGCGATTGGGTTGGTTGGTTGCCTGGTACAGATGTTCTTCCTCCACACATTTTCCATCATGGAGTCTGCAGTGCTCTTGGCCATGTCCTTTGACCGCTATGTGGCAATTTGCCACCCTCTGAGGTACCACAGCATCCTGACGCATTCGCTGGTAGCCAAAGCTGGGCTGATGGCTTTGATGAGAGCAGTTGCCTTGGTGCTCCCTTTGCCCTTCCTGCTGCAGAGACTGCCCTATTGCCACTCACTGACCATTGCCCACTGCTACTGCGAGCACATGGCAGTGGTGAGGCTGGCCTGTTCCAACACCCAGTTCAATAATATCTACGGGATCTTTGGAGCTCTCCTGATTGCGAGCCTTGACTTGGGCTTTATTGTTCTATCCTATGCCAAGATCCTTAGTGCTGTCTTGAGCCTGGCTACGAAGGAGGAACAGCACAAAGCCTTTGGCACCTGCCTCTCTCATATATGCGCCATCTTGGTTTTCTACATTCCTGTGGTTCTCTCCTCACTCATACACAGGTTTGGCCACCACGTTCCTGCCTACATACACATTCTCTTGGCCAACTTCTACCTGCTCTTCCCTCCAATGATGAACCCCATCATTTATGGGGTGCAAACAAAGCAGATTCGAGAGAGAGCTCTCCACCTCTTCCACCAGCTCTTACGAAAGGCAACCTTGTAAAGGAAGTGCACATTCATAAGGTTGAGATTCAGTTCTATACACTAGAATTCTATAAACCTGATACTGAATACAGTCCTAGTCAAGATCAAGAGACCTCTTTGATTCTCCCTATTCTGTGCTGATCAGACAGCACCAAGAATATTGTGTCTAGTCCTGGACACTGAATTTTGAAAGGGACACCGACAGACTGGGGTGTCCAGGGTATAGCAATCATGATGTTAAGGAGCCTGGAAGGAAACATTGATGAGGAATGGATGTAGGCTTTGGGTATGTTTAACTTGGAGAAGAGAAGACTTCAATATCTGAAAGGCTGTCATGTAGGAAACGGGGCAGAATTGTTCAGAGTCATTAGAGAAAACAGAATGAAAAAAATAGCAGGTTTAAATAATCTATATCAACTATAGATTAGATGACCAGATAGTCATCAAGAAGAGTTTCTTAATGGTGTTCAACCATTGACCGGAAGTGGGGGACTGACTTCTGCAGCGGGTGTTTAAACAGAGACCAGGAATATGAGAACAGGGGAAGACAAGAAAAAAGTGATGTGGATGTGAATCCTGAGTTAACT